GTTCTGGTTCTAATTCCTGTCTGCTGAAGATGCCGGCCACAGAGACTGGTGAAATGTTAGGAAGAAAAACCTCCAGAACATGGCCAAATAGCCCGAAAAACCTACAACAACCAAACAATCATCACTTTCTTCCCCTATGATACACAGCCTTTCCTTTACCCCACCCTGCCACCAAGATAGCATTATACTCACAATAGCAAATTTCTTGTTCATAGCCATCTGGTCAGCCAGCACAGACTGGTTATGGAAGAGGTGAGGCTGCATGTGACTCCACATGTGAGGGAACCACCAAAACTCCTTGACATACGATAGTAGCAAGTCATCTCCCTCGTCTTCCGCATCAGTACCTGCCAGGTCCAAACCAATTATCATCGTTCATAAAGGCTGAAGTTACGAAAAAAAAAGACTATTCCTCATAGGTTCACACCACCCAAACTGTTTGCCAGATGGAACACTGAACAGTGTTCAACTTCCCGTGGCACCAGGGACCAAACCAGAAGGCTTAGTCTTTCAAGGGCAGAAACAAATGGTGTATGTGTGTCTGAACAAAATACTTCTTTGATAACTTGTATCCAAACCATCCCAAGGCTGGCCAAAGACAATCTAGTCTTTGAGGGAAAAGCCAAGATGTTTTAGCAAACTGGCAGCTAAATTGTTCTTCTACAATGCTAGCTCCATTCCTCACCACAACTGAGGGCATTAGGCTAGTGTAGGGGGCACAGGGCAGGCAGTGTGACACATGCAACCCTGTCCTTCAAGATTGCCCTTCAAGATTGGCCAAGAGGCTCAAGATGAATGGTTGTTGGGGCAACCCCCCCAGTATCTGCCACCTGAAGTGGTTGCCTCATTCTGTCTGGAAGGATGGCTGTGGCCTTGCTATCACTACCATCACAACTTAGTATTCTGTTGACTCCTGCATATTTTCAAGTTATATCAAATAAATCAAGCACTCAACAGAAAATGAAAGACACTAAGGCCCAAGGAAGGTAACACAAACTACTCATATTATACTTCTCGGTTCTTACCTGTGTGGAAGAACTTTCCTGAATAACCCAGATTGAAAGTGAAATTTGGGATATGGGTCCGTAGTTCATTCTGGGTATCGAACAGAGCCTATAAGGTGGGAAGAAAAGAACATTTTAAATGGTAGCATGTCCACAATAAAAGCTTGGCAGCCCATCGCCTCTGAAGTAGTTCCTTGAACTCCATTACTCTTGTGGTTCAGAGCACACTTTAGGAAATACATAGTCCATATTAAATGGATGTTGACTATCACTTGCTGATGAGATCCCTTTGTCAAATTCTTGCAACTCTATTCTAGCATACCAGGCCTTTTGTGTTGCCAGAAAGGAGCCACATTTGCAGAACATCCTAATCTAGGCTTATGTTTTGGGAGAGACAATGAAAACGAATAATTCAAAATATATCTGTTTGGGGCTGTGGACCTGGACAAGTTTTAATTGCTCTGGAAAGAAGATGAGCTTTGAACTACATAGGAACGAGTTGTTGGACATAAATGGTGAAAAAAAGGTCATAATCTTAATTTTAATCTACACTTTAAGGTTTACCCTTTGATTTTGAGAATGCCAGAGAAAACAGTTAACCATATGCTCAAAGTTCATTCTGTTTCTCTCAGACAAATTAACAGATTAAATCTTGGATACCTTCTTAAACAAGCAAACCACACAATATGCAGCAAATCTCACACTGGCTTACTCGGGCACCTGCGTGTCTCTGTTCTGCTTCTCACAGAATAATTGTAGAGTGGAAAAAAGCAAAGGTTTAATATTCTGCTCTCTTACCAAAGGTGGAAATGGTTACTGAACACTCTAGATAGCCAGTTCAGTTTACTAGATGCGCAGTGATGAAAAATTCAAGAAGTGGCTGCTCTTCAAAGCAAAGACATGGCTCTCCCAGGATAGCAGTTGCTTAGGTTGTGGATGTGGCTGATGAATATTTGAAACTGTGCTCCCTGCACACTTAACTAACTGGTATTTAGCTATCAAAGGGTAATTTGGTGAAAGTGCTTTTTTTTGCCTCATGTTTTTTGCCTGAACTATCTTCAGGGACATACTTGTATCAGCAGATGTGAGGTATGAGTCCCAAGAATGTGTCCATTAGCTCAGCAGTCTTTTAGTTAACCGTACTCTCTATAGTTGGAGAGGTGGTAAGATATAACTTAGAAAATGCAAATCGCAGTAAGTGCAGCTTCCTTGTGTACCTGCTAGCCGCTGCAGTGCACAAATGCAAAAACACACAAGCAAAGATCCAGGCTTTAGGAAAAAGGCACTAATGCTTCCTTGCACTGATAGCGGTGTGTACGTGTGTCTGTTTCATCTCTGAGAAGGGAGGAAAAGTCATGATTTGACTGATAAGAAGAGCCACTGCTGCAACTCCTCCTCTTTGGAAACTGGCACTTACAATGATCAGAAGGAGCAGCAAAACGGGCAGCTGCTGTGTAGAGTAGGGATCCATGACTATCTTTGCTGGCATGGGGAGGAGCTCTGTCCTTCCAGTTCAGGGGTTATTAGCATGACATCTAAAGAGGATCTGAAGGATATGCCTAGTTTGGGTTGTGTTGCTTAATACTTATGAAATTCAAAGGACAGCGTTATTCAGCTTTGTGTCCACAGCTTGGAATGGCCACGTTGATATAGGGAGTTGTTTGAAACAACAAGTTTTTTGAGCCCAACTGATGGTTTTGGAAGTCATCACCCAAAATCTATAGTTGTGCCCAATGGCCATGGTATTGGAGGGATTCTGGGAGTCATCGTCCCCAAAAGGATAACATTTCCAAACTCTAGTTGGGCCAGAGTCAGACTTCTGTGGACAGTTCTGCCTTTTGGAAAAGGGGATCACATAATATAGGCAGAATGAACAAGAGATGGTGGCTGCATTGTCATACGGCTGGCCAAAAGCTGCTTCTCAAAACAAGCCTTTCGACTCAGATGGAATACAGTGCTTCTGAACAATCTGAATTTTGTAGATTTCTAAATTAGAACCTAGGTAGTCAACTTTGTTGCAGGGTGGATTTGATTTAAATCAAATCACTTTAAATTAAATTAGAACCTAGGTAGTCAACTTTGTTGCAAGGTGGATTTGATTTTGATTCAAATCACTTTAAATTTTAAAAAATCCTTCATTCCAATTATTTAAATTTTAAAAAATGATTTTTTAAAAAAATGATTTAAATCATTTTTTAAAAAAAAAAAATGATTTTTTAAAAAATGATTTAAATCAATTTATTTTTTAAAAAAAAACCATTGATATTTATACACCCTGGTTTGTTGACTACCTATGCACCTATCCACACATTTGTTCTAAAGCCAAACTCAGACACCCTTACCTCTATAGTAGGTAGTAGTCCCAAGGGCTGGGGACATCAGAACCCTTTGACTGCAGCTCTCACAATCCCTTGGCAATGCCCTTGCTGGCTGATACTCCTGGCAGTCAACAGCCAAACATCTCAAGAGTCAAAGATTCCCCACCTCTGCTTCAGCACACAGAAATGGATCTACAAATCAGCAGGCCCTACATCTTTCACAAACCAAGCATGCAATACTGGGTACAGGCAGAATTACCTTGACATCGTCCACCTTCATCCGTGTTCCTTCCTTGCCAACAAAGATATCATCAATGTCTACCAAAATGTAGCGATCAAGGGGCAGAGAAAGTCTTTTGCCAGTGAGGAAAGAAACAGCATCCACAAAGACCAGCTTGTGCAGCCAAAAGTTGAGGTTGTTGCCAAAAAGGACCCTCTGGATGCCATCATGGAGACCCAAGTCCTGTACCACAGTAGTATGGAGAGCTGCATCAATGCTCATATGTGGGATGGATTCTGCAGATTTGGTTTTGGCCAGAAGGACCGGTTCATAGGTGGAATGGTTTGACTGAAAGACTGTCCAATCCTCTCCAGGAAGCAGTCCCTTTTCTACCTCACTGGGCCGTGTAATGTACAGAAGTGGTGATTTGGGATTGATGCTGCAGTCCTTCAGAGCAAGGTTGGAGTGGAGAAAAAGTGGGAAGCCCTTCAGCTGAGCACTCAGCAAGCTGTTTTCATTGGCCTGTAAAGAGAGATCAGATGAACTATGTGACAGCTTCAGACAAATTTGGCAAGTAGCAAGGATAAGGGGGAAAGAAGGACAAAGCCTGCCACTCCCCATATGAGCTTTCCTGGCCTTTAGGGTCTTCAGAGGAGCTCTTCTTTTCCAAGTGTGTTTCAAGGGGACATGAGAGAGCTTTCTCTGTGGCTGTTCCCAGGAGTGATCTTCTTTGGAGATTAGGTTGGCTCCCTCCCTTTTGTCATTCCGCCATAAGTTGAACACCCACAAAGCAAAGCAAAGCAAAGCAAAGCATGCTGCTTATATACTAACCTATAGTGCTTAAAGTTCTCTGGGTGGTTTACAAATTAATTATTTGTAAGGGCTACACATTTTTAACCAAGCCCAGAAGGATAGAAGGCTGAGTCAGCCTCAAGCCAGCTACCTGAGGCCCAGATCAAACTCAGGCCACGAGGCTCCTCTTCAGGCAGGTTTTTAGTAACTTTCAGTAACTATGATTGAGTCACTCGATGCTGGAGTTTTTTTGTTTCTTGATTTCCTATGTTTGTTTTTAAGTTTTAAAAATTAATAGATTTTAAATTTTTCCATGTTTAATTGCTTTTTAATCTGCAATATATTGTGCTTTTAACTTTAGTTGTTTTAACATTGTGAGCTGTCCTGAGTCTCCTCTCTGAGACCTATAAATGACAATTACTTACTTACTTACTTACTTACTTACTTACTTACTTACTGAATGAATGAATGAATGAATGAATGAATGAATGAATGAATGAATGAATGAATGAATGAATGAATGAATGAATCGAGACAGAAGGAGACTAAACAGAATTGCTTTTTTCAGTGACAGTAGAAAGCTATTCAATCAATTGATAAATAGAAAGCCAACAACTGAGTAGATCCTGTTTATTAAATGGTTCTGCTTACAAAGGAACTAGCAGCTGGATTCAGTCCATAATACTCTTGTGTTCAAAAAATACCTCTGTAGTTAAGCACCCACAGAAGAATAAGGTTTGCTTACAAGTCTAGGTCACTGAAACAAGGATAATCTCAGGAGTACAAGTCATGACGCAGAGTATCTAGAGCTAAAAGTAAGCCAGTACTTAACTGGTTGCTCTCTCATCTCAAACTGAAGACCTTGACTTTGAACTAGGAGATGCGTACTGTTACTATTTCTCTGTTTGGAGGTCCCCAGTCAGCTTATATCATGTGCACAGTTGTCCAGTTGAGTTCTTTTCAAAGGCCAAAGGTCTAGTCTGTTCTGACACATGAGAAGGATATGGAAGCCACTTCATCAGAGTCCACTGTGAGCCATACACAAAGCTTTCTGCGGATAACCTTGGCACATTTAATTCTGACCTCTATTTGAGCACCTATAAAGAACACTTTTTCAATTTGTACTGCTGAACCTGAGAGTCTCAAATATTATAAGGAGCACAAAAGAAAAGATACCAATTCTATGTTGGGATGGGCAGCTTAACGACCTTCCAACAGTCATTTTGGAATGCAGCTCCAATCAGCTGCAGCCATCACAGCCAAAGATAAGAAATGATAGCGTTCCAGTCCAGTCTCTCCAGTTAGACGAGAGATTAAATGAAGTCGCTTAAGAGACTTGAGTTACTGAGACTTGAAATCAGATTCAGACTTTCTTCCGTTCCTTCCATATGCTTTCTTCTCACTTCCAATCTCCACCCGCAAAAAGAGCTAAACCAAATAGAACTTGGGAGGTGGCATACACAGCTGCAAAAACACCCTGTGTCTCACGGGCTCGTAAGTGGGTGTCAAATGGTGTTTGCTTAAATCAGATGGATACAGATGGCTCTTAAGGGAAATACTACAGAACCGGGAGCATGAGAGTGCAAGAATTTTGACAAGAAAAAAGAAACCATTATTCACATCGAGGGGAATCGTTCTATTAAAGCCTTCACATTCATGTGTCCAGCCAGGATGAATTCTATGACCTAGCAGCATCCCTCAGTGAGACTCCCTTTCAAAAACCATCACACAGAATTGTTCAGATCAGCAGCTTTTGTGGTCAGGTTCATTTACACAGGTACCAGACTCCTCTCATCATAAACTCTGAATCCTGGTTTCTAGAAGTGATTCTTACACACCTTCTGCCTCCCCCATTTACCTAAAAGCAAGACGCCACACATTAAAAAAAAAATTTTTTAGACACACAACAGTATGCATGATGTGCCAATGAAGTTTCCAACAGGAGAGATCAATGAACAGAGAAACTTTGCAAAAACAGAATGGTATCCAACTGTATATCTGGAAGGGAATTAACGCACAGTGCAAACACCCAATCACTGTTTCTTCTTAAGATTTAACTACAGAAATAGACTGAAATCCAGACTGATAGGGAGCAAGAAAGGCATTTTCCACCAACATTTTGGAATCTTAATCTATTTATTACACCATAAGCTTTATAAGGCACGAACCAAAATAGCAACAGAAATCAGGATGGAAGATTTGTGCTGAAGTGTCCATCAAAAAGCTAAAGGGTAGCTCTAGGTTCCAGGACAAAAAAACTCAATTTCCTTTCTACCCTAGGCTTTTTAACCTTTTCTTTTCTTTTCTTTGCTTCTTCTTTCAAACATAGAAATGCAACAGACCTGTGGTGACTGCCACAACCTGGGTGAAGCAGGAAATTTAAAAAAAACAAATACGCTGAATCTTTCCTGTTTGCTTCTTCTGAAGCTCAATCCCCAAGACCCACCAAGGGAAAGCAAGAATCTATGACAGGTTAACCTTGTCAAGTCTTAGTGCTCAAGCAGTGACCATGATATCTACCAATCTCCTCTTATACTCCTTCTTCCCCCCCATTCCCCCACAGAGCCATTATTGCTCTCTCTGTCCTGTCATCAGCACAGCTACAACAGCCTATGTCCAGCTCAAAGGATGTGGATTTGTAAATCCACTGTTGGCATCACTTGAAAAGCACAGTGCTCTTACTTATCAGGCTTGATGCTGGGAATGAATCAAGCCATTCAGTAGCAAGTAGCAACTATGAGAGGGTGTCCAAGAAAGGCTGACATTTTGCAGGCTGCAGCTCTTCCTTGCGCTCCTGACTCTTCGAACATTCAGTTGGCTAAGCGCACCTTCCTATCGTACTTTTTTCATTGTAACATGACCACTTTCCTCCCAAACAACAAAATAAATCAAAGCAGACAGAAGACATTCAAGGAGTAGAATGAATCTTGGGGAAACAAGGTCAGCTGAACTTTTAGAGCACGGTTGCAGGATTAAGTGCAGAAGGAAAAAGGGGAAGCCTAGAGTGAGAAAAGTTTCATTTTTGTAGTAGAATTCCCAGAATACCCATAATAAGCATGGCCAGATTCTGAGAGCTACAGTCCAGATAGGTAACTTTTTTTTAAGTTCTGAGGGAGGCTTATAGCAAAACTTTCTTTAACCACTCCATTAAAATCTTGCTCAGAGAAATGTTCCTAGATTCTCCGGCTCTGAGAGTGAAGGAAAGAAAGAGGGCCACGGATGACAGATCACATCCCCAAATTATACCGGACTGGCCATGTCACCATTTTGTGACCCAGAACAAAGTGAAGCCATACCCAGATCTTACAGCAGCTTTCTCCCCCTACAAGTGGGTAGATAATGAAGTGCTGCAGAGAAGACAAGCACGCAGCTGCACAAACTCTGCCCTCCTGAAGTAAGCTCCACCACCCTTCTTTCTCCTCTCACAGACGCCACCTCCAGATCAAAAATAATACCTTGAAAAAGCCAATGATTCCTACGCCGTACTCTACGCAGTACTTGTCCAAGAGCTCGCGGTTCCAGGCATCCAAGTTCACATACTTCAGGATGTTCTCATAGATGATCAGTGCAAAGCGACCCCGGTCCTTGTCCGTCAACGTGGGCATGTCCCCTTTCCCTGGAGCAATTTCAGTCAGATATTTGAAACGACTGGATTCCAAGATGGCCACAATCTCCTGGCCCAGCTGAGAGTAAAGGCTTTCCACAAACACAAGAACCAGAGGGTCTGTGCGAGAAGAATCCACCACTTTGACAGGCTTCATTGGAAGGATACGTGACGGGGCAACCTTCAGTTCATCACAGTCAGGGCTGGGGATGTCCCCAGAAGGCTCCAGTCCCCTCTTCCACCCATATAAATAATAGGCTGAGACAAAAACACTGAGCAGGCAGAAGGCAAACAGCAAGAAAAGCACCACCTGAGGAGACACCTGCCGGAAACCCCTCCGGAGCCTGACCAAAGTCATCCTTGCTTTGGAAGAGAGTGTTCAAGTTGCTTCCCCCACCCCAC